CATCTTTCAAATTTTTAAATGGTTTGGGCCCATTGAGAGTTATCACTTGGTGTAGGTATTGTATGCCCCTAGATAACCATTGCTCAGGGTCTGGGTTGGTGAGAAGCTCGAAGAGCCCAGGGTTAAGCCACAGGGGGACATGCAAATGAAATTTGGGGGCATGCGTATGTTTAAGAGCGAGATCCCAAACCCGTCTGTGGTGGTGTATCATTTCACCACGAGATACCAGGGAGCCCAGGAGGCCACTATCTCGCAGCACCACCTGTATGGGAGAGAAGAGGGTGTGACCCGGCTGCCCGCAGACCAGGGCCTGATAGAGGGCAGCCTCCAAACTGTTTAGATGATAAAAATGAGACAACTGTGCCGTCAAGTAATAGCCATGGAAATCTGGTAGAGCTGTGCCCCGCTGTCTCGTTGGGTTTTTCAGGGTGTGCCAGGAGAGTTTGTGTCTACCTGCCCCCCAAACAAATGAATTCAGGATGCCCTCAATTGTTTTGAAGACCTTCAGGGGTAACAGTACCAGGGAATGCCAGAACTATTAGCAGAATTATTTTAACCAGGTTATTTCTACCCAGAACACCCACAGGCAGTCACGCCCAAGACTTGATCCGTGCCATCAGGATTGCAAATAAAGGTTCTACGTTAAGCTTTTAGTTGTCACAGGGTTCTCTGGTCCCCAAAATCCCCAGGTATCAAATCATCAAGACTCTGCACAGTGGGAGCGTAGCTGCATCTGAGGAAGGGGGATGAGCATCTAGTGCAAGGATTTGAGATTTAATTATGCAGTTAATATGCAAGCCGGAATGTGTGCCAAATTCCCCTATAGTATGGAGGGCAACGAGCAGGGAAGGGCCCATGTCAGCCAGACACAGAAGCATATTGTCTGTGTACATTCCAACCGATTCCACCAAGGAGCCAATCCGAAGACCTCGGATATCAGGGTGCAACCCTCAACAAGGAGATCAGCGCATATAACAAGAGGGAGAGTGGGCAGCCCTGTCTTGTACCGCGATTCAAAGGGAATGCAACTGAGATCCACCCATTGACAGCCACTCTAGCAATAGGAGAGGAATACAGTAATTGTACCCATTTTATAAAGTGAGGCCCAAAGCTAAAACACTCCAAACAGGCCCACAGATAGTCCCATTCAACTGAGTTGAACTCCCTGGCCGCATCCAGAGTCACCACCGCCCCAGCACCAACCTCATCGCGCGTGGCCTGCAGGTTCATGTACAGTTATCTTATATTCATAGCTGTGTTTTCCCCTGGCATAAAACCTGTCTGGTCTGAGTGCACCAGGGATAAAATAACTTGACCAAGATGGTTCACCAATATCTTAGCAAAAATTTTAATATCTATCTGTAGAAGGGAAATAAGTCTATATGCATCTGGACGGGTAGGGTCCTTGTTTGGGGATCACAATAATTAGGGCTTCACGCATTGAATCCGGGAGTTTCCCCTCACTAAAGATACATTCATACAGAGACAATAATTCTGGGACTAATACCTCCGAATAGGTGGAATAGAAGTCTAAGGGAAGAACATCCCAGCCCGGTGCCTTAGCAGAGGAAAGAGTGGAGACTGCGGCTGCAACCTCCTCAACTGTGATAGGAGCCTCCAGAGCAACTTGCTGAGATGCAGACAACCATGGGAGAGAGATGGATTGTAGATATTCACTGCTGTGTTGAGGGGTAGCCGTGGCATGGGAGGCATAAAGGGAACTATAGTAGCATTCGAACTCCGCAGCATTATGTTCCTGGGTCAGTAATCTGGGCCCCATTTGAGTCAACAAGGGAGACCACTACTGGGGGGTTTTGATTTTGATGGGCCAAGTAAGCTAGTAGGCCTGCACGCTCTCCGTGTTCAAAAACACGCTGCCTGGTAAAAAAACAAATGTTGTTTAGCTCTCTCCAAGTGAAGTTGGTCTACAATGCGCGTATGGGAGCGCAATACCGGTCGTGGCATTCGCAGGCAAGGGATCAGTTTGAACGGCATCAGTTAGCAGGGATAGATGTTCCACAGCTTGTTCCAGGGCTAGTCCAGAGGAGGCCTTTAGTCTATTGATCCGTGTAGACATCACCGTACGGGCATGTAATTTAAAGGAGTCCCAAACTGATCCCACCGATGCCGTGTCATGCTTAGTGTCCAAAAAATACTTCCACTCACCCTGAATGGTTTCATGATCAAAGCCGATAACCAATAAGGGTGGAGTCGCCATGAGAGGGATCACGTAGGAGGGGCCAAACAGAGCGTGGCCCAACATGGGGTATGGTCAGAGAGGATTCTAGGGTGCATGCCCGCATCCTGTAGGAGAGCCAATAGAACAGAGGATATCAGTATAAAGTCTATATGGGACATAGTGGAGTGGGTTGCTGAAAAGCACAAGAACGAACGCCTAGTGGGGTATTTATATCTCCAAGTCTCGGTCAGGGCAAAATTAGCAAAGAGATGGGCCAGTCTGGTCATCGACCCAGCAGAGGAGTCAGGTACAGAATGCAGGCGATCTAACGTCAGGTCCAACACCATATTAAAGCCCCCAAGCCATATCGCTGACACTGTAGGGAATTGAGCCATAAACAGAAACCCCTCACTAACCACTGCGGAGTTATAGAGAGGAGAACATAACAAGCTAGCAACACATACGGGTTAACCATAAAGAAGACAGTGTATAAAAATATATCTGCCGCGGGGGTCCATGCGAAGGGAGAGCAACTCAAATTGTACATTCTTAGAAATCAGGACTGATACCCTCAGGAGTGTCTAGTATGCATAGCATGATATGCCCATCCTATCCATGGGTGCCGAAGCGCCAACTGGAGCTTTCCAGTGATGTGTGTTTCCACCAACACCACATGATCCGCTCGGTAGGTCTTAAGAGATTTGAAAAGTGTGGCCTGCTTAATTTTGTCACGGAGCCCTCTCACATACCAAGTAAGAAATTTCAATGATGCCATACGTTACCATCTATCATAGTTATATTGCCCACCAGTGGCAGGACACCCACAGCAGCCAACCCACCCATACCATCACAGCCAAAAACATTGACAAAAAACAGAGAGTATGCCTCACATTGTACCATGTAAACAATTTCTGAGTAAATAAAGTAAGTATAAACATAAACAATAATAATACCAACACTCCCCACCCTGCCCTCCACCACCCAAACTCGGTGTGGGCATACATCCCAAAAGAGGGTATAAGGTGAATATCCCCAAGTTTAAGACCTCTCACTGGAAAGCTGTCTAGGAAAGGTAGGACTTCAAGGTGCATCCATCAACAATCGGCAAGTTCCAACATCATGGAGTAAACGTGAAGTAAAATAGAGTTTAGTGTCAAGTTCCGTGTCACAATAGTAGGAGGGGAGATGTAAATAAAGTGCAATGTCAGGGGAAAGGGAAAAGGATGGTTAATCTGTCACTAGGCCCACAGAGCCCAGGCACGTGCAACCGTAGAGGAGGGCAGACTAGAAAGGACAGCACAGTAATTGTTAGGCCCGACTTACATGTGCATCTGGGCCAGATCCAGAGTTAACATAGAGATTGTGGGCAATTTCGCCACCGGGCCAGAAATATACTATGAACCATAGGCCACCAATGTTCGAGGCACGGCAGACAGCAGAAATAAAGAAGCCATAGCATGTAGTAGAGACCTCACTCAGGAGAGAGAGTACTTGCAAAACGAAGAGGGAGACATCAAGTCAGCCAGGATGAATACGTTGACTCCCTAGTTGATCTAGCCAGGAGGAGGCTAACTCCGGGTCCTCGAAGAAATGGACTCTGTCCTCACCCACCACACGCAGGTGGGGGTAGGGAAGAGCATAGCATACTTCAAACATTTTGCGCAGAGGCGTCTTTTAACATCTAGGAATCGGGACCGTTGTCTTATTTCAGTAGAGAAATCAGGGAAGACCGAGAGATTTGCACATTTTGGTAGGGAATATTACCCTTTTCTCTGGATAGCAGCACCGCATCTCGGTCACAAAAGTTCAGAAGTTTGGCTATCAGAGGGCCAGCGAGATGGCATCCGATGTGCCCGCTCCACGACCAGTGTAGTCGAAAAGGCCTCCCTCCCAAAGGTGGTAGTGAGCAGGCGCTGAAGGAAGGTGGCTGAGTCTTTGCCCTCCGAGCCCTCCGGCAAACCAATGAAACTCAGGTTACTGCGACGTGACCGGTTTTCTAGGTCACCCTGCTTTTGGGCCAGTTGCATGTTGTCAGAGGCGTGTCGCATAGGATGGAGAATGTCCTCCGCCTGGCTGATATGGGCCACCGTCTGCGTGACTCTGTCCCAAAGTTTTTGCAAGTCTTGGCGGATAAGGGAGATGTCTAGTTTCACCTCCTCTATCTTTGTTGTAAGCGAGGCTTGGCAGGAGGAGATACCATCGGGCACTCTCATGGTGTCTGCATTGGATGCCTCCGTGGGAGTAGTGGCGCCATCCTCCTCCACAGGGCCCCGCTCCTGCTGTCTGAATTTATCTAAAATACCTCACAGGATAGCATAGAAGGATTTTGGTTGTTGCAGAGCACAGCAACCACACGTCCTACGCCATCTTCATCCAGGCCATGCCCCCATGCTTGCATATCTTTAACCACAAGCCTACAGGGAACTTATACCCCTTTCCTGCCCAGGCCAATTTCCAGCTTTTAGCGCTCTCGCACTTTGAATGACAATTGCGCGGTCATGCAACACTGTACCCATATGAAATTTTTATAATTGTTTTGTGACAGATAGAGCTTTATTTTGGTGGTATTTAATCACCTCTGGGGTTTTTATTTTTTCTTTAACAAACCAAAAACCACTGAAAATTTTTAAAAAATAGTTTTTGTTATACAATTTTGGAAATAAGTGATTTTTCTCCTTCACTGATGTGCGCTAATGAGGCTGCAGTGATGGGCACTGATAGGCTGCACTGATGGACACTGATAGGTGGCACTGATGAGGGGCACTGGTAGGTGGCACTGATGGGCATTGACAGGCATCACTGATAGGCACTGAAAAGCAGCACTGATAGGTGGCACTGATAGGCGGCACTGACTGGCACTGTTAGGCGGCACTGACTGGCACTGATAGGCGGCACTGACTGGCACTGATAGGTGGCACTGATTGACAGCACTGACAGGTGGCACTGATTGGCATTGATAGGTGGCACTGACTGGCACTGATGGGTGACACTGAAAGCAGATCAGATGGGCACTGACATGTGACATTGATGTGCACTGGTAGCACTGATATGTGGCATTGATGTGGCACTGATGGGCACTGGCAGGTGGCACTGAAGAGCACTGACAGCTGGCACTGTGGACACTGACAGGTGGCACTGCTGGGGCTACACTGATCATCAGGGCACACTGATCATCAGTGCTCTGATGATCAGTGTACATGTCCCCTCCGCGGAAAGCCAATTACCGGCTCTCCTGTCGAGCTGTCAGCGTGACAGCTCGAGAGGAGAGAAATGCAGATAACAGGCATTTCCCTGTTTACATGTGATCAGCTGTGATTGGACACAGCTGATCACATGACCGAGCCGACATCTTCAGCTCTTTCCGTGATCGGTGATCCACTGTATCCGAGGGACACAGTGCACGGCCGATCACCACGCTGCGTGCTCCCTGAGCCGCACATGCGCGGTGAGAATGGGAGGACGTCATATGACGTCCTCCCAGAACGAGAGAACCACCTTGCATTCGTCATATTACTATATGGCGGGCGGGAGGTGGTTAATAAAAATTGTCCATACATGTGGCAATGCTATAGAACACTAACTTTTGGTTCCGCTTTTTAGGAAAACCGAAAGCAATCAAATACATAAAGCACTGCTTTCGATTGACAACAAGAGGATGGAATGAAAACTGCCCAGAGAGCAGTTTGTTTTTATTGACTCAATAAACTGCATTCAGGCTGATTGTCACCACTAGAACCAATATAATCCTGCAACTGGCTTTTGTTACTGTCATTTACTTAGACAAGAAGACTGAACTGAAGTAATTGTTTAAATGGTTTGCTACATCCAGGTTTTCCTCAACATAAATACTGTTCCCAGTTTTAATTTGTGTGATCTCATAGTATCTTTTCTTCTTCTGTAAAAGGTTTTGTCTCCATGTTTAATGTATTTAGTAATTTCTTTCTCTTTCTGTGCAGCACTGGTGTTTGGCCTCCTTTTGTCTGTTTTTATACACTTCTTTATCAGCTACACTTTATGTTTCCATGTATCATCTATATGCTGATTTTGTTTCTATTTTACTATCCTACTTTCCTCTGTAGTGAACCATAATTAAAACCTTTACCTTGAGTTATCTTGTCAATCAACAGGCTATCATAATCCTCACACTGTCCTGGGGGCCTCAGGAAGAAAGAGGCGTTGCCCTCTAAGTGCAGTATGAAAGCTTTTTAATGGATAAAAAGTGTAGGGCAGTTGAGATGTCACTTCCGGTCCCATGATGGCAGGGGTTGGCTCACGTTTGGAGCATGTTTGCTTCCTCATCAAGTCGTAAGGATGCCATCTTGATATGGGGCATTTGTACTCTCAGCGTGGGGAGGAGTAAAGGAACTCCTTCTACAGGCAGGCACAGCTTGAGCAGTAAACGACCCATGGCAAGAGGGCTATCATTAAGCACAGGAGTGGACAATTAGGAGATAAAAAATGTGATAAAATGTAACAAAACTGAGAAAAGATGTATATCACAAATGTTAATACATGGCAATTACCTTTTAGCCCTATGTCCATGTGTGAGAACTAATACATATGAAAACTACAATAAGGGTTCATAGCGTTATACAGAGTGCAAGAAATATTGAATATATATATATATATATATATATATAAAACAATAGATAGTTGAATACTGAAAAGTAATACGAGCAGAGCATTGGAATAATATGTCAAAACTAGTATTAAGCAGCAAAAACAAAATAGAGAATAAAAGTGCAGATGAGGATAAATTCAGGATGATAGTAAAAATTGTTCAGCATGCTGGTTCAGAATAACCAAATCAAGGATAAATGAATGGATGCAACATGATGATATACAATTAAAAAATAAGGGTAAATTCAGGATAATAATAAAACTTAAAAGAGAGGGCTAAATTCAGAATAATAATAAAAATTGTTCAGCATGCTGGTTCAGATTGGTAACCGAATCAAGGATAAATTAACTCGCTGAGAGTACAAATGCCCCACATCAAGATGGCGTCCTTACGGCCTGATGAGGGAGCACGCATACTCCAAACGGGCGCCAACCCCGCCATCATGTGACAGGAAGTGACATCTCAACTGAAGGAATCCCGGAACTAGGAGGACGTGCTGGAAGCCTCCAGCACCACCGCCAGATGCTGATGACCACCATCTAGCCAGAGGAGAAAATTCAAAGGAGCAGGTTGGCAAATTTTTCTCAAACAAATTTCTAACAGCATATGAGGTTTTCGTTTTGTAAAGTCCATTCATTCCAAAAACAAATGTTAAATGCAAATGAAATCTTTCGAATGACAACCAAATGTTCTGAGAGTATTTGAAAATTTAAATTCTAATAATTTGTGAAAAAAACTTCCTATGACTTTTCCTAAGAATTGTCCTTGGAAATTCTATCCATCTATGGCCAGCTTTAATCAGTTAGTACAGCATGTTACCCTGCCTAGCCCTGCATTTTTTTATTGATAGGGGCTCCAGGTGGCTCCCTGCTGTCAAACCGCAGCTGCACCTGTATAAGGAATAGGTAGCACTAGGAATGATGGTATAAGGCAACTGGCAATAGGTATACAAACCCCAAAGACACAGTAAAAATCAAAATTGCAGCGCCTAAGTGTATAAATAATTACTAAAAGGTTATCAAAGAGTTAATAAAAGTATAATAGTAGTAAACAACAGTCCACTAAGAGCAGGTAAGTGATGCAAGTCAGCTAACAACTCATGTTAAACATCACAACATCCCTCTGTGGGAATCATAACTCCTTCCATCTATGGTCTTCTTATCATAGTTTCCATTCTGCACCACTAGGGGGAGTCCAAATCACAGCAACACTGTATGAGACGATCACTCACCGCATGGAGCCAGAAACACCAGGAGGGGCCAGATATAGTATAGTAGTATTTTATTAAACTAACTTCACAAGCAGATAAAAGTCATAAAAACGCATCCAGATGCTCAATACATATCCAAAAAGAGTAGTGCATTTATTCCAATAGCCCCCAACTCCGAGACCAGAATTGATGGTGTGACCTCAGCTCGTAGCCCACCTTGACATGTTTCATACCAATGTACATCTTCAGGGTATGCTAGCCCCGCAGCTGCAACCTACGCAAGCAGAAGGTATAGCATTTAGGAATACAGCAAAACCATGTAATGTGCCGACCCCGAGCTATCCAAAATAGAACTTTAACAGAGCTGTGCGATCACAAGATCAAGCTGTAAAACTTAATAAAAGGGTAAAAAGGATTTTTTTTAAATAAATGCTCCCTACATAGTATGTATTTGACATCTTCACAATACAGTACTTTATTTTTAGTTTTATGCTAGTCTTGAAATAAATCTTAACTCTACCTCTCTTTTTTTCTACTATGTCTTTCCTGTATAGTGTGTACCCTGGTATAGTTTTCTTGCAGTCTTTTGAAACCTGAACCATGTCCCTGTAGTTATAACAAGGTCCAGGTTATCCCCCAGTCAGAGTCACAAAGCTTGTTACCTAATCTATGAGCATTAGTGTACATGATGCACATGATACCCATGACATTAATAATATTATTATAATACAGGATTTATATAGCACCAACAGTTTGAACAGCACTTTAAAACATGAGGGCAGTCAGTACAGTACAGTACAATGCAATTCAAAACAGGAGGTATAAGAGGGCCCTGCTCATTAGAGCTTACAATCTAAGAGAGAGGGTCAAGTGATACAAAAGGTATTAAACTGTGGTGAATGAGCTGATGGTGAAAATCAAAGTTCAGTTGTGGGGAGGGGGGGCAGGATAGGCCTCCTCTGAAGAGAAGAGTTCATCTGAAAGTGGTAAGAGATAGTTAGTTGGACAGATAGGGGTAGGGAGTTCCATAGGATGGGAGAGGCTCGGGAGAAGTTCTTGTGGCAAGCATGAGGGAGGTGACAAGGGAGCTAAAGAGCAGGAGGCCTTGGGAGGAACAAAGAGAAAGATTTGGTTGGTGGTTTGAGACTAGGTTAGTGATGTAGCTGGGGGTCATGTTTTGGATGGCTTTGTAAGTGGCTATTAGTATTTTTAATACAATTTGTTGGATGAGCAAAAGACAGAGGATGGATTGGCAGAGAGGAGTAGCAGACATTGAACAGTTTTTGAGGTGGATAAGTCTAGCAGCAGCATTCATGATGGCCTGAAGAGGGGATAGCCTATGATAAGCCAATGAGAAGGGAGTTGCAGTAGTTGAGGTGAGAGATAACCAGGGAGTGAATTAGAAACTTTGTGGTGTCATTAGTTATGAAGGGGTGTATTTTGGAGATGTTTTGCGGCCAAAAGGATAGTTCAAAGTCCAAGATATCACTTAGTACCTTGGGATGCGGGGAAGAGTTGATAGTGGTGCCATCGATCTTGACAGAGAAGACAGGAGAAAAGGCAAGTGGGGAAGGAAATATGAGCTTGGTTTTGGATAGACTGAGTCTGAGGAAGTGGTGTGATATCAAGACTGATATGCCTATTAGCAAATTACATGAAAGACATCATTGGATTTTTAGCACTAGAATCTCGAATTGCTTTAACCACCCCATCAGGTAAGTCCATCTCTGTTCACGGACTTTAGATCCATTTAGAACAAAACAACTGAGTGCTGAGTCTGTGATACATTAATTTTTTTTTTTTGCACCGGTAGTGCTGTACTGTTACAGCAAGTTTTAGCAAAATGTTAAGTAGGACAAAAAAAACCCCACACACGGTAATTAAACTGGGATAGTTTATGTGAGATAAGAAAAGGAATAGGCTACAGAATAGGATCTTTACCCTGTAAAGAAAAAATTAAAAGTCGACAGCTAGAAATACTGTAGCTGCTGACTTTGACCATCTCTTTGGCCTGTCTTCGGGTCCAGGCTCCCACACCTTAACTATGGGCAGCCGACTGTGACTCCTTGCGGCTTCACAGCCGGCTGCCCACTGCGCATGGTCCCGCAGTCTCCTGGGACCTCTGACGTGTCCCAAGAGGCTGCGGGGAAAGGAGGGGGGAACAAACTTCTGCTCCGATCATCTAGGCCAGTGGTCGGCAAGCCGCGGCTCGCGAGCCACATGCGGCTCTTTACAAGCTTAAATGCGGCTCTTCTGTGTGCCGGGCGCCCGCTCCCCTCCCTCCCCTACCTCCTCTCGGACGGGCGTGTGCCGGGCGGCCGCCCCCTCACCTCACCTCCCCTCCCCTCCCTCCTCTCGGACGGCCGCCCGCTCCCCTCCCTCCTCTCGGGCGGCCGCCCCAAAGGTCAGGACTCAGCTGTCAGGATGTAGGCGGGGCAGCCAGGATGTAGGCGGGGCAGCGTGACGAACTCCTCTCCTCTCACAGTCCGCCCTGAAGACCAGAACGGCGCGGGAAGCACGACGAGAGGAACGCGCGGAGCAAAGGTAAGTGAATTGACACAGGGGGGACT